CATCGGCGGTTCGCCTAAGGTTGCACGGCTTTTAGAAAATCAGTTTTTTTGTGGAGTTACACAATTTTTGTTCAGTTTGTGGGCTGATGTTTTCTGCGCAGACTGTATCAATTTAGTTTTAATTTGTTTTGTTGGTTTTGGAGCTTTGAATTTTTGCAAATTGGCGTGTAATAATGGTTTGCATAAGGTTAACAGGCTGCTAAAAAATCAGCTTTTGTGTGGATTTGCGCAATGTTTTCGCAATTCGCAGCCTGATCTTTTCTGCACGCACTGTAGAAATTTCAATTTTATATTTTTTCTGGTTTTCGAGCTACGAATTTTTGAATATGGGTGCGCATGTGTTTAATATATCGCTGGTTCGCCTAAGGCTAAAAGGCTTTTAAAAAATCCAGTTTTTTTGTGCAATTGGGCATTTTTTTCTGAGTTTGTAGGCTGATATTTGCTAAGCAGATTCTCAAAATTTCGAGTTTTTCCCTTTTTTGGTTTTGGAACATTGAATTTTTGCAAATGCATGTGCAAATATCTGAAATAACGCCGGTTTTTGTGCGATTTTGTGCGATTTTTCCACAATTCGTGGGTTGATGTTTTCAAATTTTTGCAATCTGGTTTAAAAGATTTAAAGGCTAAAAAAACAGCTTTTTTTGGATTTGTCCGATTTTTTCTCAGTTCGTAGTAATAAAAAATAAGTTTTGTCCGGGACTAAATAACTTTTTTTTGCTGTACTTCTTCATCTTTCGTACACACCCAGTAAAGATTTCAAGAAGCTTCTTGCTTCGTTTTTTAAGTGCGGATTGGTCAAGCGCTTTATCTAAAAATTGTCATTTTTTGCCTAAATAATTTCTTTATACTGCAATTTTTCTAACCACAACGGATTGGAGATGGAGAATTTATTCATATTCAATATGTTTCCCTTTCTAACACACGGAATCTGCAACTCCGCCTCTTTTCCACACTGGTGTTCTCTTGTGGACTAAAGGCGAATGAGCCGAAATACAAGTTGGGTAAATGGAATAAAAAGCTGGAAAATGTTTAATGTTTTAATAACGTGGAAATTCAAGCACTAAATTAACAGTTTTATACATAAACCGAGATGTTTACGCTAAACTCATTTAGACTTTTAATCATCTACACTATTTAAGAACGCTCTTGCTAGTTTGATATAACAATTTCCCGAGAATATTTGGTAAAAAATAAATGCTTTTGCTAGCTGGTACCAACCCGGTTGTTACCTAAATTAGATATTCGAAAGCCATCCCCGCTAGTAGAAAGTAGGGCGATCGCCACATGGTTACATTGAAGATTCGGGACAGTACAAACCATATAAAGCTGATCACCCCCAATTTCAAGCAGATGTGCGCTCCAAGGAGGCTGAAATAAATTTGTCAGGAATTTCCAAAGCATCTTAGATTAGTTTGGCTTACATTTTGTCTTTGGTTTTCGCGGCTTTGAGTGTCTTTTCCGGGTCCTTCGATAGGTAGATCCTGGCACCAAAGACCAGCTTTTCAAAGAAATCGCTCCAGGACAAGTCGCTTAAATCCACGTAGAACTTGGAGCGGGTCTCTTCCGTTAAAAGATTGCTTAGTTCTTCAGTTTTTGCGCTCTTAAATTCCCATTCTGTGAAGATGAATCGCTCGAGCCGCCCTAGCGAGCTGTTCACGTTCCTATGCAGTTTCATTAGGCTAAAAGCAATATAATGGAATTTCGCCATGGATGAGTATATTTTGGGGAGCTCACATGGGGCGTCCTCCGGACAGTCTGGTGACATTGTCCAGAATAAGAGCCGGGAGAATGTGGACGAAAAACGAGCAAATCCGATAGTAGGTGATGGAGTTGACGAACTTCAATCGGGGCCACCAAACGGCCGATATGAGCGGATACTTGTGCAGGCTGCTATTCACCAAATTCTCCACCTCGGCCCATCTAAACGGCATTCGGGTGCTTGAAGTGCAATGGTAGATGGCCAATTCCTCCGGTCGAGTTACGCCTGAAAGTGCAAACTGTAAGTCCGGATGGGAGTTTTGAGGCCCCAAAACTGCTACCTGCCCGATACCCGGCCACCATCAGGGTGTTTACCACTACGTCCACTGGAATATAGTCATAAATCAAGTCTTTTCCCAAGGGCAATCGACGAATCACTCCTTTGGAGGCGCCCAAAATGAACCCTTGAGGGCCGTTCTTGCTGATCGTCCAACCAGGCACCGGTCGCTTCCACGCCCCGACAACTGCAGCAGAAATGTTGGTTATTTGCGGTTCTTCTAGCTGGAACTCCAACTTACTCATTGATGGGCGCACGATGGTGCATGGGAAGAGCTTTTCGCATTTCTTCACCTCGTACTCGGCCAGTTGCTTGGTGTAGGTGTAAGTGTTTGGATGCTCGCCCAGGATTTCTGGGGTCTTCTCCTCCAGCTGCTCGCCACTTAGGCTCTCCGCCAACTTTAGCAGCTCATCTGCGTCTTTCGTCACCGGGTATAACACCTAAAATTTACTGGGTAGGTCAAGATAGATGGGGCGCACCCTCAATTTCTTACCTCCTCGGTGGAGAGCATGAATGAGTTAACGTAGGCACTGCTCACATGGATGAGAACCTTCAGGTTCCGGCATTGTTTGGCTAATTCCGTCACGCGTCGGGTTCCTGAAAAACGGGATTTTCAGGGTTGTAAGCATCTAGCGCGCCATTCCGCCCAAGGCTTTTAACTCCCTAAAGCAACTGCTTACCCAATAAATTAATATCAATAGTAGTCCTCAGAGTATCTCCAAAATCCAACGTGGCAGCACTGTGGAAAATCACATTAACTTTTTCTTTTAGCGTTTGGAGATCGGAGTCAGAGAGCCCCAAATTGTCCTGGCCAACGTCGCCAGCAACAGGAATCACTTTTTCAAAAATCTAGAATAGTCAATCAATCAAAAATCAACCTCCCAGTTCAGTAGACGAGTCCTACCTGATCGACAGACTCAGTGGCTCTCTGTGATAGCAACGTTTCAAAAACTGAGTTTTTCTTCAGCACAGCGAGCCGATCCTCAATGGACTGGCCCTTCTTCGGTCTCACCAAGATGTAGATGTTTCCATGCTCGGGCGTGTCGCTCAGTATCTTCTCTAGCAGGCTGATGCCCACAAAGCCGGTAGCTCCGGTTATAAAAATGTTCTTCCCCTTGTAGAATTCCGGAATGGTTTGGGTTTGTCCTTCCATCGTTCCCTGTCGCGCTCTGAAACACACACACGTGTGTTCTTCACTGGTCACGATTTTTAATTGGGAATGTCTTGAAATTTTGTCACGATGTTAATGATTTGATGTTGAAAAATGATCATTTTTACATTTAAATCCGATTAAGAATCATTATCATATTTGGGTGCCCGAGCCTTATGCTTATTAAAGGACTTTGATTGTGCAAATCGTAGTGTACGTTTGAGAGAATTAAGAAAGTGTCTTTTTATGTACATTTAGTATCAGTTCGAACAAACCTTTTAAAATGTTCTCAAAATTTTATGCAAATAGCCGGAATTTCCTACTCGAACATGTAAACAAACATGACTAATTGACACTCACAGTCAGATGCCAAGGGGACAGTTCATCACAATGTTGCCACTGTGTTTGGACAAAGACGATACAGACAAACTCTATAGAGAGAGATAGTAGCGAAGGTGCCTTTTAATTGCATTTATTATTATGTGTAGAATGGTAAAAAATCGACATAAATTAGCTCAATTAATGTTATGTGAGTTATTATTTAAATTGTCATGACGGCATTCAATAGTAATTAAAACTGCTTTACACATGTTGCTTTGATAATAACTGGAACGGTATATTTGATAGAATGGAAAATTTAATTCTCTTTTGGCATAAAATGTGTGCAAATTTGCGAATGATTTTATTGATGAAATTGGCGCCACAACACACAGCCCGCACCAATAAACTACCGTTTCATCGATGCTAATTACCATTAATTTGCATTCGGTATTATCGTTGCCTCACACCTGAAACTATTGAATCTCTTCACGCATTATTCTGATGAGCCAACATCTCCAAGTGTAACTGTAGATTTGTTATGAAGGAATTTACATGTAAATTGTTGATGGAAATGCTAATGAAAAAAACGATTTATTGTCCAATTTTTGATAATACACGGATATAGAAATATGCTCAGTTTGTAGCAATTTTGATCCCAATCCAAACCGGCAAAACCGCTCGTAGATTATAAACTAGCTAAAATGAAAATAATATCGAAGCCAGCAAATTGCCCCGTTACATTTCGCTGGTTAATTTTAAACCGTTACGCGATATGAACAAAAAAGTATCAACAAATTGTTTAAACAATTGCAGCAAGTTGAGCTGATGTTTGCTTGATAAGGAATCAAGTTATGAGCCAATTTTTTCCAAAATTGCTTAGTTCTTTTGTTTGGCGCAGGTTCCTAGGGAAAAGCCCCAACTACTTACCAAGAAAACCCCTGTTGGAACCCGACGACGAGCTGAAATGCTGGTACTTTGATGCGAACCCGTCTAACACTCAAACAGTACTTTGGACGGCAGTAAACCATCGCACAGGTAGGTGCATATAGGTGGGAATGGGGATATTATTCAACTAGTACTACTACTTTTAGTATGCGGTCAGCTCGACGAAATTTATTCAGTTATTAATGCGCGCATTTATAAGCTTACAGTTGATTTTTTCCTCTTGAGCGGAGCTCGGAAAAGATTCCTTAAGTTTGCGCTCTTCAAACGGACTTGAGAGCAAGTCGAACCGATAAAGAATTGGTCCTCAAGCTCAATTATCCAGCATCCGATCACTCGAATCAATGATTAGATCGGAGAATGTACGCTGGTGAATGGAAAAATCTAGAATTACTGTTGCGGCCAGTAAAAGGCAGAAGATTTTTCAAAAATATCTGGTACAAATCCAATGGTCAGTGGATTCCGAAAGCCGGTTTAATGCGTCAAGCCGTAACCAGTTTTACCAAACGTGGATTTTTACGCTTTTAGTACATGATTGTTGTTGGGCAAGCACAAACACATTTAACACACCTGTAGTGAAGACGAAGCTGCCAAGGCGTGTTTTGCGACTATTTTTTACTATGAAGAGATTGATTGTTTCAATTGCGCTTTAGAGTTTATGGTCGGGCAGATGCAATTTTCGGAGATTTTAGTTAAGTTAAGAATATGCTCGTTTTGTAGACAAGCCGGGTTTTGCAAGCATTTTTCACTACTTTTTGCCACTTGATTTAGTCTTGGACGCGTTTTGCGATTACCTATGCGGGTTAGTTTTGTTAATTTCTATTTAGTTTCTGTTAGTAGTTTGGCAACGTGTTTTTGCCCCTGTAGCATCGGCAAGATGATCGGTGTTTCTTTATGGGAAAATTTGAGAAATTCCATTTAAAGAGTTTTTCTACATGGAAAGTCAATGGTAGTGAAGCTCCGAAGGACAACGAAATGCATTTTTTCAAAGTTTGTGTCGAAGAAAGCGGAAAAATTTTAAGCCGTGAAGGTAGCAAGTTCGAACGTAGCTACGTGCGGACCGGCGTGCCGCTCTATAGACCCCTATGCGTGCGAGAGAGAGAACCGATGCTTGCTACGTACGGGAATGCAACCATAGTTTCGTGAAGTGGAAAAGTGTTTTACGGTCGTATTCAGGGGCGGATCCAGCTTTAAAGTCAGTGGGGGGTTATGTAGAAAAAATACAGTCTTCTGTTATCTATGAAATTAGAAAAATGATCGTCGTTTTGTGCAAGGGTGGCGCAAGATTATGCCAAAATTCCATGTTTTCCGTCCCGTTTTTGCTCATATCTCGGAGGCAAAATGTGCAAGAACGCTCATTTGCACATCATTCTAGAGATAAATAAATGGCCGTTTTAGAAAGTGAACCATGGATGGGGAAATGTTGACAGTTTTCTCAAAAAAGGCTTGAATTCAAGAAGTTTTAGGTTTGCGTGGTTTTTTTTGAGTTACAAAATCCACTTGAATATGAGCCGCAGAATTCGTTTTGGCATCGTTGGATAGAGAATTGAATGNGGGGGGGGGGTCATGATTATGTTAACATTTTTCAGCAGAAAGCACTCGCAATTTGGTTAGTTTGCCAGGCACCCTAAATAAGGCACAAACCAGCATGTATATTTGTACTCAAAATCAGACAACATGACAACATGACAAACATGACATAAGTCTGACCTTTAAGACTTCATGACATAAGTCTGACCTTTAAGACTTCGTCTGTCACTGCGGTTTAAATTTCCGCCAGCTTTGATCCAACAGCAGATCGACACATTGATCAATGGGTTTGATTATGAACGGAATGGCGCATAGGCCTACGGCCGTTACGGTCAATTTTCGCGTGTTTTTTGGCAGGTTTGTGCTCTTTTTGAGCACATAGTTGGCTGCAGCACAAACACGGTTAATGGTGAATCCCGGTATGGCGACTGAGGCCAACAGCTGCCAAATGAGAGTATCTGCAGTGGTAAACGCCACTCGGGCCTTGCAGTCGGGTTTGTTAGCGTAGGCCTGCAAAATTGAAATTTTTACCTGGTGAAATCAGCAGGTCTGTTTAGGCGAAAATATTGCGTTTTTTGCTAAAGCTAATAGTAGCGAAAATGGTGATTTACACTTTGACACCCTGTGACTCGAGAACTGTTCACTTTTGGATAAACAGTGTCAGTGAATTTCGTTGCATTATTTGCGGGCCACCCTGTACATCGAACGGTTTCAGGTGTTGCAAGGCGCCGCGATGCGTTGAACAGAGCACGCGACAGATCGGGTGCAATGTGAAAAGAGATGCAACATGAATGAAGGTCGACTGGTGGCCGATGGCGTAACACATTAAACAAATGAGAATCAATACATATAAAAAACAAGTGCACGTGCGAGTTTTTCAATATGGATTAGTGATTAGTGGAAAATGCTCAGGATTTTCGTACCTTGTAGGCGTCGATGCCCTTTTGGCGTGTGTCGGCTAAAACGTAAAGGGTGGCGATTCCATAAGTGGCGTTTACCCATCGCTTACCAATGATGGAGCGAAAGGCTTCGCCTACTTCATTGGCGTAGCCTGCAAACGGGAGAAAACCGTGGATTTTGCCTCCCGATTGGACGCCCCCCGACTTACCTAAATATCTTACCGGAGTGTCCCTGTAGAGGTCTTTGGATTCTGTCATTTTTGCTTCAAGCAGTCAAACGAGCTTCGATTGGTGTTGGAACAAAACGGCCGCTAATTGGAGATTTTTTAGTTGGGACTGGGAGAGTGATTTTGGTTAGGCCGCGATGTTCGCTCAGTGTGGTGGACGTTTTCTCTTTTGAATCGTTAAAGCCGATAATTCCATTGTATAAATCAACGAAATGTTTATGTTGCAGATTTGGCGTTAATAAAACATCGGCCTGTTGGTCTAGGGGTATGATTCTCGCTTCGGGTGCGAGAGGTCCCGGGTTCAAATCCCGGACAGGCCCGGTTTACTTTTTTCGTTTTTTTTTCCAAATTCCTGATTTTGTTCTCAATCAGGCTTAGTTATTGCACTTTGCAGGTGTTTGGATTAATTTTTGATAATTATCTGCAATGTTGGTTGAGTGGTTTTTTCTGCTAATAATATGGAGCCGCGTTTTCCTCATAAAATTGGCAGTCGCTTTCCGAGATTTGCTACTTTGGTGGACATTTGGCAACATGTGGGCAAATACTGATTTTTGCAGTCTATGATGGCGTCCTTTTTTATTCTATGGGGCATTCGTGCATTTCAATGAGGGAGAGGTGGTGGAAAACCAACCAAAATTGCAGTCCAAGTAGGGGACGGACGGGGAAAATGAGACAGAAGTAATTTTTCCGTTTTAAATATTGTTGGCAACTCGAGCCTTTTTCCTCGGTAGTCACCACGCATGAAAATAGTCGTTTTTGCGAAAAAAACCGTAGTTGAACTTGGCGTTTGAATTCGAACAATCATTGTTCCACCTGCTGACTTCCGTGTCACTTTGAGCAGTAATGAGATTTGAGCAACACATTTTTTTTTAAACTTCACTGCATAAAAGCGCTGAAATTCGAGCACGAAGAACGATTGCGGCCGCCAAACCAGCTTAATGGAACTAAATTCGTTCATAGCGTCCCAACTGCAAGCGCACTTCAAGAAACTGCTCATTATATGCACAGCCACGGCCTCGATATATCTGATCAAGCGCTACTTGGACAAGAAGAAGCTGGCGCTTGCGAAGAAAAACAAGAGAACCATCAAAGAATTTCCAACCATTGAGGAGATTCAGCGATTCATCGAAGAGCTGCCGTTCAATGCGGGCGCGTCGGGCAAATCGGTCACTTTGAAGGATTTGCTGGGCGAATTGTCCGAGTTTAGTGAGGATGAAGACTGGAAAGAGCTGATCGCCAGTGTGCATCACATGTACAAAGAAAGTCCGACTGTCAACGACGACACAGGTACAAAAAGGGATGAGTTTTGCGGATTAAATGAAGGAGAATCGGTTGTTTAGGTAGTTTAATGAGTATCTACGAAGATCCCGAGTGTGTGCTTTTAGGCTCGACGGAAATTGATGGGAAAGCGGCTGCCAGCGCGAACAGTCCCAGGGAAAAGTTTGAAGATTCGCACCAAAATGCAGTCAGTGAGGAGGAAGTGAAAATTCCTACTGCTAGTTGATGAAATAGTGTCATAATGTCTGTGATAAATTGCGAAAGTTTCAGTCACTTGATCTGCTTTTTACTGGCTAATTGCTCGGGTTGAGTTGATAAAGTCTATATTTTGCGGAAAAACAGAATGAAAGAGCAAAGCTTAGGTTGTAAGTGCGCTGTCCGGCATCAGCACTCCAGCAATGCAGGCAGTCATAAAACAGACTAAAGTCCCACCAACGAAGGCTCTGAACACCAACCGTGTGACTGTAGTCTTTGTTTCCGGTGCCAAGGCTGCCATGGTGGAAATAATGATCCCGATTGATCCAGGATTGGAAAATCCACAGATGGCGTAAGTGGCAATCACGGTCGCTCTTGGCTAAAGGCAAAGAAAATTACGGCAATTTGGCAAATGGTGGGCAAACGGTGGGATTATTACCGATAGGTTTTTCTCCTGCAATTTGGAGAATGCCACAAACTCATTGACCATCGTTTTGATTCCGATTAGTTGGGCGACATTTTCGCATTCGTCCCACTCAACTCCCATCAGCCACGCCACTGGAATGAACAGTTTGCCTGCAATCAGTTCCAAAGTCCACATGTTTGATGCATCTGTGAAGCCTGCAAAGGTTGAGCAAAATTTGTGATTTTTTGCTATATTTGGCCGGCGTCTATGGGAAATTGGCCCCGACGTTTCGCTAGCATGCATGGCTCAAATCTGTCTGTTAGCATCGATTGCACAAACTGAGCTCTATTGCCTGTCGCTTTTGGGGCATTTTTTAAATTTAACTAGTGGAATTTTCGGGATTTTTTCTTGCTTTAAATTCCCAATTATGCATCAAAATTTTCACCGCTTTTTTTCAAATTTTTTTTCAAAAGGTTTCCAAACTGCCACTCCGTCTAAATTGAAAGTTATGCACTTTTGAAGCAGGGCAGGGGTAAAATTTTTACCATTTGTAATTTATCATCATGACACCGATTTTGTCATTCCAGAGCGTAGCAAGCATCGGTCCTCTCACTCGCACCCACAGCGATCGATGGGAGAAGCACGCCGGCCGACTGTTGCTACGTTCCAGCTTGGCACCTTTGCGGCTTAAAATTTTGGGGTTTTGGGCGACACAAGCCAGGAAAAATTTGCTTTTGCGTTTCGTATTGAGCAAAGTGCCAGTCGTTTTCCATGTGGAACAAACAGTATCTGGGAATCATTTCGTTAAATTTATCTGCCGATTTGTTTTGTTGCATCAGACAGCAACTAGATTGATGAATGCCGCACTGGGATTAAAACTAAAGCACTTAATAACAAGAGTGTTTTATACCAGTTTGATGCATCCGTGAAGCCTGCAAAGGTTGAGCAAAATTTGTGATTTTTTGCTACATTTGGCCGCCGTCTATGGGAAATTGGCCCCGACGTTTCGCTAGCATGCATGGCTCAAATCTGTCTGTTAGCATCGATTGCACAAACTGAGCTCTATTGTCTGTCGCTTTTGGGACATTTTTTAAATTTAACTAGTGGAATTTTCGGGTTTTTTTTTCTTGCTTTAAATTCCCAATTATGCATCAAAATTTTCACCGATTTTTTTCAATTTTTTTGAAAAAGTTTCCAAACTGCCACTCCGTCTAAATTGAAAGTTATGCACTTTTGAAGCAGGCCAGGGGTAAAATTTTTACCATTTGTAATTTATCATCATGACACCGATTTTGTCATTCCAGAGCGTAGCAAGCATCGGTCCTCTCACTCGCACCCACAGCGATCGATGGGAGAAGCACGCCGGCCGACTGTTGCTACGTTCCAGCTTGGCACCTTTCCGGCTTAAAATTTTTGGGTTTTGGGCGACACAAGCCAGGAAAAATTTGCTTTTGCGTTTCGTATTGAGCAAAGCGCCAGTCGTTTTCTATGTGGAACAAACAGTATCTGGGAATCATTTCGTTAAATTTATCTGCCGATTTGTTTTGTTGCATCAGACAGCAACTAGATTGATGGATGCCGCACTGGGATTCAAACTAAAGCACTTAATAACAAGAATGTTTTATGACTTTTGGTAATACCAGTCGAAATTCGTGGGGATTTAGATAAAGCGGCGATTTCAGGCCAATTAAATGCGCCAAGATGGATTAGCAATTCCATTCGTATCGCTCATTACTTGTTCATTCATTACATACCTACAAGCGTTCCAAACCAGCTCAGGACGCCATTGATGAAATAGACGAACGCCAATGTGGCGGTAACTCCGGAAATTATGGCTGCTATCAGATGGAAAGCATCCGTAGCGCCTTTGCTGGCGGCATCAATAGCTGAAGAATATTCGCTGAAATTTCCCAACAACATCTAAGTCTTTGACGTTTCCAGTGTCTTGAGGCTACTCACACTTCCACCGCGTGTACGTCCTCTTTCTTGATTTTCACCTCCTGAGTTTCCGGATAGAGCAACTTGCTGAAGCATAGAGCGGATGGAGCCGACATAATGCTGGCCGTCACCAAGTCCTGGGCTCTGGCTCCGTAGCCAATGTAGGCGGCAAAAGTGGAGCCTGATAGAGCCACATTGTGACGAATTAGTCGGTTTTACTCAAAATGAGCCACAGTACCTGATACGGAGGCAAAGCCGGCTAGCATCAATGAATGGAGCTCAGAGTCAGTGAGGTGGATCAGATAAGGTCGCAACATCATCGGGCCTTCGGACTGAAAAATCGGCTTGATTATACGGAAGCGCAGTGGTTTGCTTAATTACCATTCCAAGAAAGGCCACCGCAACACTGTTAACACTTTCGCAAATGGTCGTCCCCATGAAGTACTGCAGAAACTCCCCCAACATGTTTACAAACTTCTGCATCAGACCGTAGTAGTAAAGCACATTGACTAGGAAGTTGACGAAGAATATCACTGATAAGGCCTGCAAATCGATCGTTAGTCGCTTGCAAGCCCCTTTCGGCATTTTCTGCTAACCCGGAAGGCGAACACTTTCAGCTCGTTCACTATGTAGTCGCCGTAGGTAAATGCGGCTGCTTCCACACCATAATCCAAGAAAGTGTTCACATGATCCGAGAATGTTTCCAAAGCGTTGCGCCCAACGCTCCATCTTATCGTCAAAAACCCGATGCTAAACTGCAGAATGAGGCCCCACGCCACAGTGTTCCACGGCACCTACAGGTTTTTGTCTGTTTTATGCAATGTAAGACGATAAATACGATTAAAAATGATTGGGGATCTTCAGTTTATGCGGGCCCAACGTTTTGCCAGCACGCACGGTTAACATCTTCAGAGGCGTTGCCCTGAGGTGGTTCTTTTCAAGGAATTTTTGATGAACTAAGGCTTGGTCCATGTCGGTCATCAAGCCACTCAAGAATTCACCACTTGGCCAGAGCGGATGAACTCGGTGGCGTCATCAAAACGTGAGTCTTACAGGGAAACAAATTCCCAGCGAGTTTCAAAAAACACATATTTTTTGACGAACTTTGGCCATCAATGGCAGAGAAGCCGGACATTTTTTTGTCTTAATAAAAGTTAGAATCAATTCCTGGGTTTCAGTCATTTATTGTCTCTATTTATCAATTAAAATACGTTTCGGTGTTTTCCACCATCATCAGTTTCTATGCAAATGTCGTCTGTAAAAACGTCTAGACTTCGTCTCGGTTGTCAATCCGTCAGGAGTTCGAAAAACAAATTTTTGCCCTCGTATCGAACACTATTTTTTATTCGAATGAAAGATTACACGAATAATAAAATGCATCGATTTCATATTTAAAATTTTGTGGCAATGTCATTTTTTGAAATGTCATCTTTTGAAGTTTGTAATTAAGTTTAAGTACTTTTTCAACTTGAAACACCTGTGGTCTTGGGAGGGTGTATGCATGTTGCATACTCTGCATGACATTTGCGCTTCTTAAAAAGATCGTGTTTTACGTGTGACAACATCGCAAAAGTAGATAAGTAGGCCAT